TGAATGCTCTAAACAGAAAAGTCTCTTGAAAAGTTAGCAGAACTTAAAAACCTAAACACCTAGTCATTTTTCAATGGAAAGTCTTCCTTGTGGTTTTACATTTTTCATAGGAGCTGCTATGATCAAAGTTGCTGTAAATAAGGTAACTCAAACAGCGGATATGGGCTACTTTGAAAAGAATCTTTTTATACTTAGCAGCTTGATATATCTGAGGCAGGAACTGAAGGAAAGCTGTTGCTTTCAGAAGCATTTCAAACAGCTCACAAAAGTACACACACCAGCAGGGAAAGAAAGAAACCAGAACCTCAACACAAACTTATTTTTCCATCCTGCTGCTTTATTGGGCTTTAAGGCTCATATTAACACTAAGACTTTACATATTAAAAAGAAGAAAAAAAACAAAACAAAAAACAAAAACAAAACAAAAACAAAACCCACCAAAAACAAAAAAATAAACCAAAAAAAAACCACAAACAAACAAACAAAAAAAAACCAACAACAAAAATACCACCCCAAACCAGTAAACCAAAACAAAGAAACAAACATGTAAATACTCACAACACCTATTCCTTCCCTAACCAAAAACAGGAAAGACCACTGCCTACTATTGAGTGGCCTCAGCTTTAGCAATGCAGTGCTTCACATTTATGGACCATTAGGGCCCTAGTTTGACATCCTCTCACACTCCAGAAGATCTGCCTATTTAAATAATTCAGGCAACTAAGCCAAGGGCACACACGGTTGGATGGTTAAACCAAGGCAGTCCCTGAATGATTTGACAGACTGGATGGTATGAATGGTTCCTATTACAGAATTTGGCTTTCTCTTGCTGCACACTTTATGTCTCTGTGAGCCATTAACAAGAAATGTGATGCCCAATCTAGACTGTTTGAAAAGGTGCAGGAGGAGTACAAACTCTCTTCATCACTTAGATTTCAACAGCCCAAAGATAAAAGCAGAAACATCAAGTATGCAATTCAGATGCAAGAAATTTAACTGCTTATTCTCAGTCAGCTGTGAAATACTTCTAGCAATTCATACATTCATTTCATTAGGATTTCTTAGAAACCTTAATGGAATGGCAGAAATAACAAAAAAATAGCTATTTATGCTAACATGCCTCTTGGCTTATTATTGGTTTTTGGACAATGAGACAGCAATATGACAGACTCTTAATCTGAAGAATATTCCAATGAAAATGCTAACAAAAGCAGTGCAAGAATTTTTATGCTACCAGTATTTTCTTTTCAAGCATCACAATTAGACTGTGTCACTTGAGGGCCTGCACAGACACATAAATGAAAATAATTGAAAATACTATGAACCTTTTAACTGCATCTATTGATGCTTTGCATAAAAACCTATTACTACACATATTTGGAACAGAAGCAGAAATACAGTATAGATCTGTGAAAGCCAGGTCATTGTCTTTTGGAAATTTTGCCATTTGAAAGCACTTTGGCCCCAAAGTTTGTGAGCAGCTGCCTTACACTGTTTTACAAAGAGAAACATCCCTCTCACACCTGTTAAACTTTTAACTGCAAAAAAAAATCCAAAACCCACCACCCCAAAAATATAACTTTCCTTAAGAGTTGGTTAATTAAATTAAACAAATTAAATTGTTTCACAGATTAATGACAAACAGGACACAGTTTGTGAACTACTGATTCAAGTATCAGGTAATTGCCCAAAAATACATTTCTTAATTCCTCACACTTAGTATGGAGAACTACCTTACTGAAGGCAGAACTACAAACTGAAATTAAGCATAAATCTCTAAGTGGTATTTTATTTATTCTCTTCAGGGACTTACCACTTATTCCTACCAATACTATTACTGTACATTACACCGAACTCTAGACACACACGCTCTAAAATCCAGAGCAATTCAGAGACCCTGTTTAAAACACGGTCATGCAGGAACTGCAATGTCAAACTGAAGAACCATTGAACTGCAACGAGGGAGTAGAAAGAAGAAGGAGCATTGCAAACTATCTTTACCATCACAGAAACTGTAAGATTAACTCTTCAGCACTGATTTAACACTCAACTTCTTTCTGGTCTGGACCAATACTGGGAGGCTGGCTTTTCATAGTAATGGAAAAGGAAAAAAGAAAAATAGACAACCCCCCTCTGGTAATTCCAGCTTTCAAGCTAGCTTCAAACCTGGACAAATGCATCTCAGCTTCCCGACAGAGATCTCAAATTGGCAACTGAGGCACATATTCCAGACCTACACAGTGGTGGCCCTCTACATTCACAAAATGCAGCAAGAGCCTAGAGGTTACACTCTCTTGGGACTTTCTTTAGTTCCTGAATTTTCAGTATCAAGACTATCCGTTAGCTCTTCTCAAAGCACTTTTTGAAGAAATCATGACTAAGGAATTATACTGCATATACCAAGAGAAATATATCACAATAGACAAGCACCAGGCAGATAAGGGATAAGCAAGCAGGCACCAGGCAGAAGCATACAGCTGAAAATTTTGTTCCTGATTCAAATTTCAGGAAGCAACTTCCAAACATCCCTTTCCTCTTGTTGCTTGTTCACCACTGGGATCAGTGCAGACTGGTATTTCTGAAGTGCCCCCTCCTCTCTTCCCTCCCTTGTTTGATTCATTACCAAAGTGATAATGAATCAAACAAGCTGCCACCACCTTGGGCTGCCTGTGTAAGGTTGGCTTTTTCGCCTCAATCATTGCTGAAGTGAGAGTATGCATTAATGAGAGGGGAGTGGCAGATTTTAGGGAACTCAACTGACCAGGCCTTGGATCTGGACTCGGGCAGCCAAGCAGGGATGGCAAGAGCCCAGCTGAGCTGCACCCTCAGCTCAGCTCTCTGAACACATGGGATGGTCTGCTCCTACAGTGCACTCAAACCATTCAGCCAACAGACTTTCCAAGTTCCCTCTGTAACCTGTAGATTATGTGGTCCAGTATTTACTACCTAGATCAGGCATTCCCAAAGAGTAGCACACCCTGAAGAAATTGTATGCTGCTCATAATATACATCTGTCTAGCTTCCACATCCGTCCAGGTAGAGGCTGCCATCCAGCCTGCAAGAATTTACACCTCCTGCCAACATAACATACACTTCTAGATCAGAATGTGAAAAAATGAGAGGACTGAAGTGACAAATGATGGGAAAAATTAGGGAGCTTAGACCAAAGGTAGATGATGTTGTGTAGTTGGGATAAAAGTTTGGGATAAGAATATGAAAAAATGCATAACTTGGGTATTACTGCAGATGTGACCCATACAAATTATGAAGTTTAAAAAACTATTTTTAAATTAATGCTGTGTCTCTGCAAATCTATACATGGACTTAAGCATTAATTACACCTAGTTTAGGGATATTAAAGCCTCCAGGTATTGGATGTTCTCAGCTCATATTATCAAATGTAGACAATTAATTCAGAGTCCAAACTGGAAACACCCTACTTAGCTTTTCAGTTCAGCTGTTTTGCTTTAACAAAGGGCTAATATTCAAGAAACAATTTTTTCTATCACTTAAAGAAACACTCAAAAAAAAAAAAGAAAGATATATAGTCAGGTAACAAAATGTCACTAAACCAACTACCCAAAACAAAAAGCAATCAAAGACCAACATTTTACTCTAGATGCCCAAGAGAGATTAATTTAAAAAAAAGTAAGATGTCACAAACTATTAATATCTGATGGTCAGGAACTAAAACGCTTGGCCAAGTTTTCATTTTGACACACTGCAAAACCCCAGAGTTACGAGACTAAAGAAATCAAAGGTTCTTGTCAAATGCACTAGCTGACATCAACCAAGCATGACGGGGTATAGGAAATATCCTGACCTTCCCCCTTAAACCAATGCAATGGGAAGAGACCAAAAAGCTCCTTTTAAGTACTAGGTTTAGAATTTGTTTTTCCTTTTCTGTTTTACCTCTTCTTTCTTCTCCTAAAATAAGGCACTCTTACATCATATTGCATGCTTCCCAAGTACTAATTACCTTCAACCCATAATACAGTCCAGAAATAACCCAGATGTAAGAACTATGTAAGAACTTTATAAGTCTTCCTTAACTGGAAGTAAACAATTGTGCATTACATTAATTTAAATGCATCTTTCCCATTTTCCTTTGAAACACTTCAAAACAATGTTTTTGCCACTAAAAAAGGACACAAATTACAAATATTACCAGTGAAACTAGCTGTGTCTGAGGTCTTGCTGTGAAAACAAGATATGTTAAAACCAGGACCTCTGCTATCATGTACTGCTTGCACAAGCTGATCTCTCAGCCACTTGACTAGAAGGGAAAGAGGTCAAGTACATTAAGTACCAAGCTGTGGACTAACAGAAGTGTTGAGGTGGCTTATGGTTCTTAAATTTATTTGGTTTAAAAATCACTAAATAAAAAGATTTCTCTTTGGAAGGCTACCAGTTTAGAATAAAGGATCACTAGTCTACTAAAACCACCAGGGTAAAACACGTTTATAAATCAGATAACAAAAAAAAAAAGTAATCTTCAGCCCAAACTGCCCTGGGCTCAGTATTTGTTATCTTCTTGCTTGGCCTTTAGAATTTCTGATTTACTCAAATATAGGTTTCAACTTCATAGGTGCAGCAACTAAAAACAAAGCCTAAAGGCTCCCGTTCCTTCCAGCAGTTTAACTACTAATGATTGGAGAAGAGTTTATGCTAGAAAAAAGTAACCTTAAGACAAGCTTTTCCTTTGTTTCCACAGCTCACTGTATGAGAAATCTGGCCAGCAACCTGAAAACAGCACATCAAATCAGCATTTTTAGCTTCCTGACTTGCACTAATACAAATAATCATAGTGACTCACCAATTTTCAAGTTTAACTACTGCTTTATCATAATCCATCTGTTTAATTTTCAGTCCCAAAAAATTTTAGGCATATTTATGCTCTCCAATGAAAATAAATTAAGAAAATCAAAAACATTGCCATCAAAGACATGGAAAATGAGATAATATTCATGAAAATACTATGAAATTATGCATAGGCTCACCTTAAATCTTTTATCCTGCAGGACTTTCTTAATGGCCACAAGCTCTCCTGAATCACAGAGTTTGGCTTGATACACAACACCAAAAGATCCATTTCCAATCACCTTGGTGTCTGTGTAGCTGACTTCTTGTGGTCGGTCTGGACCTTGTCCAGGAGTTGCAACTACTGTAGTCACCTTGCTGCCATCTTTGTCTCCTGCAAAGCAAGAGATACACAAATAATCAAAATACATGCATAAACAGGATGACCAACAAGAATAAAACAGAGGAGGGTAAGACAAAGATTTAGATCAGCATATGTACTTCAATATTATAGAGAAAACCAGAAAACCTCTGACAAAATGCAAAGAAAACACTGGGCATGGTTTTTTACCTATATATATATATATATATTAAGTGATGACAATTTTTCATTTAGATTATTGCTAAGAAAAATTTGCTCTCCAGAAGCAAATAATTGAGCAATAAAATGTAATGCACAAAGAAGCCAAGTATTTATCCCTATATCTGATTATCAAGTAAGGGATATTAAACACACTGCTTGCATTACCAAAATGAAGCATTTTCCCATATTTTTCCTAGAACTGAAGAAACCAAACTGCCAGTATGAGCTCAGATAAGCACTCTGATCTTTACAGGCATTTATCTGGCAACAACAAAAACCAGGAGCACTTTAGGTTTGTTACAAATCTACCCACATGTAAAGTTTCAGCTTGCAGCACTAGGAAGCACAACCTTTGTCAAACCTGGCTGTGTGCACCTGAAGCCAAACCTAGGCTGCATCAGATGGCACAGGCTTGTTCCTCCCTTCTTCTGTCTGGACTTCCTTGCACAGAAGGGAGGCACTTGCTGGGGCAGGGGAAGAAGGGGGAGAAGGATGCCAACAGCAGGCACTCAGCTGGTATCTCAATAGGAACCAGAGCACAGCCGGGGACAGTGCTCAGGATGCAAGAGCACAGTGGAAGCTGCACAGGTGAATGTGCTGTGGCACAGATGCAGCAGCTTGGGGCTCCAGCCACTTTCCATCAAACGACCCAAGCCACTGTCACCTACTCTTAGCCCCACTGTTACTACCAATAGTGCTTCGCCCTATTCAAAGTCTGATTTTGTTCATAATAGGAGCAAAGCTTTAGGCACTTTACAAGCACAGTCAGGGCACTTCTTGCCATTCAGTTGCAATAAAGAGCCCTTCAGGCTTGGGTTACAGAACCAAACAGGGCTGCAAGAAAAACTAGAACCTGCTGTTGCATAGCAGTCACCACAATTCTACAGAACCTGTTCTCAAGAAATGCCTATCACACCTGCTTATTAACAAACCTTCTCTCCATGACTTTCTCCAGGAATTCTCTTCACTTCTCATGCATTTAGAAAAATCCTTCCAAGAGACAGCTTGATCAATAGCGTTGGTGTAGTGCAGGCAAAATGCTTTTTTGTTCTGCTCCAAAAAGGGCATGGAAAAAAAATTGCACAGCTCACTCTCTTTCCCCCCACTGCCTGCTTCAAATATGAGTGCTGTTGCAAAGACAGTTATTATGATGGAGAAGTTATTTCTCTTTAGGAAACCTCTCCCCTCACTGCTAAAAACTACTCAGGTACAGCACCTAAAACCAGGCTCTGCAAAGGAAGCTTATCTCAGCTCTACCCATCATGCTGGTGACTTCTTGTGTCCGACTTACAACACACTTGTTTGTACAGCCCAGCACAATGTTTGCAGCTTGTGCAATGCTGTGACCTCATGATCAGCTTGTGTACCAAACTCTCCTCTGTGGGGCTGCTGCCTGTCCAATCCTCATCCACTCTCCACTTACACACCTGATTGCTCTTATCAAAGCCTAATAATCTGCATTTTGTCCTGACTGAACTGCATCCAAGGTTACTGAGCTCCCTTGCCAGCTTATCAAATCCTACAATCACAGTCACTATCCAGAGATTTATTTCCCAATGCTACATGAAATTTACCTAAGAAATTGGTGAAAAACTGGTGAATCCTATGAGACTGCCTAAAGGCCCTGCAAAAACCCACAAAATATCTCATCCTTTTTTTTCTTGGACCTCCTGTTATGCTCTAACAAAATAATCATTTTGTATGTCTTTCATGGGATTTCCCGTAGTCCATTGTTCTCCTAGATTTCTCATGAGAAAATCAGTTTGCAAACTTCAGAGTCAAGATACCCACATCTACTACTACTTCTTCTGCACCTACAAAATTCAGAAGAAAAGCAGGTGGCTTGACACGATTTCCTCCTGAAAAATCCACAATAACTACTACTCATCTCCTATGTTGCCTCTTAGGTTCTTACAACTTGCTTCCTTTTATGAGTACAACTACTCCATGAAACAAATTAACAAATCAAATATAAATTAAGTACATTAGTGCTAAAGGTGCCAATTACTTGCCAAGCAATACAGAGTTGATCTAGCCCTTCCCCATAATAGTCACAACAAGCTGAGATGCAGATTTATAGATTTGGAGAGAAAATGGGGTAGGGGGTAGAAAGGAACACTAGACAGATTAATGTCTTCTTACAGGGAGAGAAAGAAGCATAAATAGAAGCATACTAGCTGCATGGAAAATTCACTCTCCTCTTTGATAACTGTAAGAAATACAAGAAGGAAGTCACAAATACAAAGAAATCCTTTTTTCTATTTTTGTAAACAAACTGAAAGCGTAACTCTCAGAGCACCAATGCATTTTATTTGTCCAATTATTCTATTATTATCATCATTCTAACTTACCAAATATACAAATGAGTTATATCTGCTTTACTACAGCAATCCTCATCAAATAAAAGGTAATCTCCTACCTGCTCAATTTTGAGGGGCATCTTTTTTTTCTTTTTGGCAGGGTTCACTAGACCAGAGGATTGAGATTGTTGTTAATGAGTTTTATTCTCCATTTTTCCAAAAATCAAGACTAATGAACTCTTAGAGATAAAAATAATTGCCCCTGGCACCCCTGGTTGAGATTTGAAGTACTTGATATCAAGAGATCTGCTCTAAGGACTTTCTTCAGAGCTGCAACTCTCTCAGGGACCTCCTTGTCCACAAAAGCAAACCCTGAATTTCAGGCCACGTCAAGTGTTTTATCCCAACGTGCAGCACACAAGCTGCAGCCATTCAGCCAACTTTTCCAGAGTTCAAATGAAAAACCAGTCAGCTTTAGACACCTTCCTTTAACTCCACAGGGAAACAGCTCCTACCTAAACTTGCTGAAATCATCAGTGCTTAGAAGTGCATTCACTGGCACTTTAAACACTACACCAAGAATTACTTTGTTTTTTTTACCAGAATTTACAGAGCATTAAGCCTCATAGAGCCTTCTCCCATCTTTCTGCTTTCAGGAAACAACAGTTTTTGCAAACCATCCACAAAACACACCATAAGGACTCCAATCTTTTAAAAGTTAAGCCAGTAAGAGTTTCAGTTATATTCTATTTCAGTATTGTTGAACCTGAGAGGATATAGGGTAAAATTCACCTTGCACCTTTCACAGCTTTGATCTCCAAGAATAAAACATCTCACTGCTGCTCAAAGTATACAGATAATGTGTTTGTATGGCAGCAGCATCCAGAGGCTCCAAGCCTGTTTTGCCACTCCTTGCCACAAGACAGATGTAGGTACTGCTGACAAGATCATACACAGTTCAGAATGGCTATCCCAGTTTTAATTGTCTGGACAGCAAGCACTGACTTGCCAGCCAAACAGCACATGAAGGAGTTCACTAAACAGCTTTCAGAAATGCTGGGTTTAGCCTCAGCATGATGGAAAATGGTAGAGAGGAAACAGCCCTGCCCAGCAATCTTCAGTACATCCAAAGAGAATACTAACAGCAAACACCAAGAAGCATTATACCACAGCAAGTCTCAAAGAGAAGCCTAGACAGTTCTTATCTCATTCCCTTCACCTCTTATTTTGTTTAGGACTGTCAGACTCTGTGACCCCAGTGGACAGGCAGGCACCAACCAAACACTGAATACTCTCCACACCTTTGACTGTAAGGTCTACAACAGAACTAGGACATTAAATGGAAAAACTAAAGGAGGAAGAAAGGACTAAATAGCAAAATACTGAACAGCTCCTATAGCACAGCTCACATGAAATGCATCACTAGCACGTGTCCAGAGGCTGCTGTTTTCTAGGGCCAACAGCAATATGACTTTGCTTTACTGTAACCAAAAAGCAAATTCATGTGGCTATAAAATCATCATCTATGCTAACCACCTTTATAACAGCCAGGGTAGAAGCAAAAGGATAAATAAATAGTTATCACATTATAATACACTTGCATTTGGTATTTCATGGAAACCCTTAAAGCATTTCCTCACACAGTACTGATGTTTAGCATCCATGATGTTGTATTTGGGTTTGAGTTTTTTTGATTAAGAGCTTTTTCCACAATTCTGATGTGAAATTGAGAACAAAATCCAGACATTTCAGCTTCCAAGTGCTCTGATTAATCTAGCCCACTTTCTACCTTTAGTACATGATGACCACATGGACAAATCAGAACCATTGCGTAAAAGCACTGCTGAAAGCAGCAAATACTCATCAGCTTGTGGGAAGAAATGAGCATACTCCACTTAGAAGACCACAGACCATCAGTGCAAGCTACAATCCTATTTTTGCATCTCAAAAACAAAAAAAGGAAACCTATGGTGGCATATGGTTTTGTTTTTACTCCCGTGACACTGGGGATCCTGCTACTGGGCAAGCATTTTGTCACACATACCCCACCAGCTGCAGATTCCTTCTGCTAAGCTCAAAGGTGACCACCTGTAAGTGTACTGCATGTATACTTTTGGCCTGTGCCAAATGAGGTGTCATTCAATAAAATTCACTTCAGTCCTCAGGGACCATGAAAGGCATCCTTTGCTATTGATCATCCACACACACACCTTCTACTGAATGGGCCTGGAGAAAGTCCAAAATTATGTCTGCCCTACATCCCTTTAGCTGTTTAGTGTCTGACTGAGCAGTGAAACCACACTTTAATGCAGAGATCTAAGAGTGCTTTTTTAGCTCTCAATTCTATATGTGGGTGCCCCCTTCCTCCTTTTCAATGTGTTTTACAGTTGAAGAAACAATGTATTAGTACAATGATTACAGCAGCTTTACTTCTACTTCAAATGCAACCTTGATCCTTTGCACCATCTACAAACTCCACCTTTTCCTCTCTTTTGACTTTGTTTCCTCTCA